TACTAATTAAATTGCAACAATCAATTATTCATAATTATAAATATATTTTGTAAACACGATATCATAGATGAAGTAATTGGAATGATATTGAATGATTTATTTTATCATGTTAAATGTGATAAGTATAAATCTATCATAGTTTTTTTAGTACGATTTACTCTCATGTGTACTTGTGTAGTTTGCATGTAATTATACATGACTATGATTTACTCTGTGCACATCATAGAGTAGTATAATTATATACACACACGTCTTCTCATATGTGTTGATCAAATGCTTTTTAATGGGCTATATGCAACATGTGAATATAGTGTCTTTTTAACCGAGTGTTTCTGGTACCAACTTAAAAGATGTGTTCCGTTTCAACTAAAAGTCTAAGTTAATAGTTAGACTATACATTTATATTTTATATATATTGTATATTAGTAGTTTACTTACAAATTATCCTAAGTTTTTTTGTTATTTCTTTTTTATTTACGAGAAAGTTCACAACCTGACCGTTCGTTTGGGTGAAATTTTCATTGTGACTCTAACTAGCAAGGATTATAATGAGGGAAACTAGCCTAGGTTGTCCATAACTGACCGACTCTCTACCCAAATTTTAAACCCACAATTATTTTTATTATTGATGATTTAATTCAATTATATATTGCTGTGTTTTTGGTTTTTTAAAAAAAAAAAAAAAAAAAAAACTTTTTGCATGATTGCAAAAAACCAAAATTCTGGGCAACTTCTGCCTCTTTGCTCCCACTGTCGTCTGTGCTCCCTCTCAAATTCAAAATGTCCCAAAAAAATTTTGAGTCTTATTGTTATTTAGTTTTTTGAGGGTAATTTTTTTTTTTTTTGTTATTTCTAGTAACTTGTGTAGTGACATATTCTAGGTTTGAGTTCTGAATTTATATGATCAAATTCCAATCATTAATTGATTATTTGAGCTAAAAAAGTTTGTGAAAATATATAACATATATTATCTTGTAAATAATCATAAGTGTTTCAAAAATAATAATATTATTATTTCTTTAGAAAATAAAAAATTGGGTTTGAAAATTTATTGGCTTTTGAGAAAAAAAAAAAAAAGAAGAAGAAGAAAATCTGGTTTAAAGTTCATATATTAATTTTTTTTTTTATTTACTTCATCTATCGTTATATGATTGGACATCATCTGAATTAACATAATGAAAGTTTGAAACCTAACTAATTTTTCGAATTGCGAGTGAATTTGATTAATTATTGGTTCAAATAGTTTAATTACGATATATTTAAATATAAATGTTGCCAACTATTATTATGTAGTGTAGTGATATCTCTCTGTTACCATTTTAATTGGATGATCACAAGATCAAATCTCGATAGAATCATGAGTGTTTAAAAAAATTATTATTTTTTGTTTGGAGGTTGAATGTTAAAATTTCACCTACGATAGAATCATGAGTGTTTAAAAAAAATTATTATTTTTTGTTTGGAGGTTGAATGTTAAAATTTCACCTAGACTTAATTAGATCCAAAACTTATTTTCAAAAAAAAAAAAAATTAGATCCAAAACTTGAAATTATATACTCCGTAGTTTATAAATGCATATAACAATAACGTATATATTAAATGAAAAAAATAATCAAAATAAAATTCCAATATCACTCATTCAACCTAAAATTTAAGTTAAAAAAAATTAAAAAATAATAAAAGGGGAAAAATCCATAAAACAAATATATATGGGGTGTTTGGTAAACAACTGTTAGCTAATTATAGAAAATTGTTCGCTAAATTAACTATTAGCTAATAACTGATTATATGTAAAATGACTTTGTCAAAAAACTGATCGAAAAGGCTGCTTTGAGCAGCTTTTTAAATTTTAGCATTTTGGAGCAATAAGCTGTTACAAAAAAGTCAATTTATCAAACACTTATATGAATTATTTAACCAAGTCAAACACTTAATAGTAATCAAATAAGTTAAAATTAATCGATAAGCTAACTATGTTACCAAACAGAGATAATATAGTTACATGTCTTAATCAAAATGAATTAGATCATGGAAAATTCAAGTATGACTTCTTCTTTTATATATTTGGAAACTAGAAAACTACTTTAGCATGCAATGAGAGAAACCAAAAGTTGCTGAAGAAATGATCCGATATGTGAAACATGATTTCGTACTTAATTATTACGAGTTTAATTTTATTAATATCATTTTGATCGAGTATATCACATAAGGTCTTTTTAGTACTATTAATGTTTTTGATGTGATTTGTAGATTATTACACAAAAATAAACTTTATTCAATAAATATCATCACATAATAGTGTACACGCTTAAATAGTGATTGCCAATTTTTCATTTAAAAAAAAAAAGGTGAAGCAAAAGTATCTTACGAAGAATCTTTGGAAATCGTTTTTCCGCAGCCTGTATGTGTAGGGTGTTGCTATTTGCACCCCCCTTTGACTAAAATGGGGTAAAAAGTGCATTGAAAATATAAAAAGTTAAAAACTTACAATAAATACATAGGTGGTGCAAATAGCCTAATGGGTGGTCAAAATGCTATTTGCACCACCTTGTCAAACTTGCATTTAATACTTTGATAATTTAAAATTTAACTAATTAATAAAAAAAAAAAAAGAAAAGAAAATACTCACCTTCTCCGGTGAAAAGGCAACTGCCTTCTCACCGGAGAAGGTAACTGGGTTGCCTTCTCCGGTGAGAAGGCAGCCCAGTGGGTCGCCTTCTCACCGGAGAAGGCGACCCAGGCAGATTTCTACCTGGGTTGCCTTCTCCGGTGAGAAGGCAACTCACAGTGGGTTGCCTTCTCACCGGAGAAGGCAACCTAGGTAGAAATCTGCCTGGGTCGCCTTCTCCGGTGAGAAGGCGACCCACTGGGCTGCCTTCTCACCGGAGAAGGTGACGACAAGTTTTTTTTTTTTTTTTTTTTTTTAATTAATAATTTGATTGTAAAATAAAAATAAATATAAAATAAATATTAGACTTTTGACCACATTAAATGATGGGGTGTAAATAGCATTTTTTAGTTAGCACCACCTATAAAGTGGTTTGACCTATTATATAGGTGGTGCAAATAGTAAAAATGGGGGTGTGAATAGAATTTCCCTATGTGTAGCGTACACGGTACACGGACATAAAAATCTTTTTAAATCCTTTATATTTGTTATTTAAAATTTTATTTTATTGAAATTTTACATTAAAAAAAAAAAAAAACTGTTGGTATGAATGTATGATAATGATAATGTTATAACTGCCATACCAATGAAAATAATGATTAGTTTAACAATATTAATTACTATCATTCATTTTATTAATTTTGGCTATTTTTTAAAATAAAAAATAAAATAATAAAATAACAAATGATACGCTCAACATTCACCTAAGCATTATTATAACATGCTAAGTCTAGTTATCGCCACTTTAGCGATAACTTGCTAAATATGTAATAACAGGATTATAACATGTAATGCGCTCAACATTCCCCTAAGCATTATACACATGTATTATTTTTATTAATTTAAAATACTCCATTAAAATTTTATAGTTAAGAGATCAACTGCACTGTTTATTAGATTTAAGTAGAGGTGACACAGATTGACCATGACTGAATCAACCTTGAAACATATCAAAAGAAAAAAAAAGTTTGCCCTTGTTGACGAACGTTCTAACAAAATCTTTAATCTGATGGGCTTACTCTAAGTTGATATTGGTCCTAGTCTAAGTGGGCAAATTATGCTGTGCATCCGTATGCACGTGCATACGGATGCAAAAACGACGTCGTTTTATTAAAAACGCGTGTCTCCCCTTAAAAAAAATATCAGGTTCGATTCCCAGCAACAACATATGAACTAAAATTCCAGAATCGATGAACTATAATATCAGAATCGATGAACTATAATTCCAGAATCTATGAACTAAAATTCCAGAATCTATGAACTAAAATTTCAGAATCGATGAACTACAATTCCATAATCGATGAACTATAATTCCATAATCAATTAACTAAAATTCCATAATCTATGAACTAAAATTCCAGAATGAATGAACAACATAATGTTGTTGCTGGGAATCGAACTTGATTTTTTTTTTAAGGGGAGACGCGCGTTTTTAATAAAACGACGTTGTTTTTACATCCGTATGCACCATGCATAGTGCATACGGATGCACAACATAACTACTCGTCTAAGTGAGTCTAACCATTGGAAGGCCCGCAAATTATGCCCTGGAAACGTGTTCACCATGAACGGTGAACACAGGTCCAAACGGCGCCGTTTTTACGTAAAAAAAAATAAATTTCGCGGATGTTGTGTTAACGGCGTGCGTTTGGTCAGATTATGAATTTTCTGTTATGAGATTATGAATGTACTGTAAATTCATAATCTCATAACAGAAAATTCATAATCGTATAAAAGAAAAACATTTATTAAATTATGAATTTTCTGTTATGAGATTATGAATTTACAGTACATTCATAATCTCATAACAGAAAATTCATAATCTCATAACAGAAAATTCATAATGTCAAAACAGAAAATTCATAATCCCATGACAGAAAATTCATAAAGCTTGCATTACAGAGGAACAGTCATGGTTTCGGACGGGAATGTGTAGGCATGGGTCCAAAGTGAATGTGCAGGCAACAGTCATGGTTTCGGACGGGAATGTGTAGGCACGGGTCCAAAGTGAATGTGCAGGTATGGATTCATAATTTATGAATGTCCGAAATCATTGCTCACCTCAAATTAAAGTGAAATCGCGAAATGTGAAAATGAAGAAGAAAAGTCACGCGATTAATTTAAAAAAAAAAAAAAAGAAGAAAAGATAAAGATGCAATAACACCGTTGGATGGATAGTGAACACGGTTCCATGGCATAACGATTGTGGAAGGCCGGTTTAGGCCTAAGATCGAGAAATTTGAAACATATTTTAATAAAAAGATTTTGTTACGAGATCAATTTGATAATTTTTTTCTTAAATTTATTTATTGTATAAAAAAGAAAAGAAAAGTACGGAGTATCATTTTTTATTTGAATGAATTTTATGCCATAAAAAATAAAAGGGAGGTGGTATATGCATAAATGCAAAGAAAATGACGGATCATCCGATTTGATGGAAACAGTGTCGGGGCGAGTACGTATCGGGGCCCCAGTTGACTGCCCCACCCGTTTCACATCACTGTAGTCTGTAGGTAGCTTCTTCTCTCCCATATTAACTATACGCAGAGAAGAAAGAAAGAACGTTGGTTGCTTTCACCATCTCTCTCTCTCTCTCTCTCTCTCTCTCTCTCTCTCTCTCTCTCTCTCTCTTATATATATATCTATCTTTAATGCAAAAAAGAAAAGAAATATCGAAAACCCCTTTTCGGAGCATACATAAAAACAGAAAAAATATATGTGCACTTGACCGACCGCCATTGAAGCTGTGTGTACCAAGCAGTTTGTGCTTCTGACAATGATAATAATAACGATAATATAATAGTTAAAGAAAGTTCACCTCCTGTTCTCTCTGTGTCTCCTGGTTCATTGTCTTTCTGGGCAACTGTTTCTCTTCAATAGTCAGTTCCTTCAAGTCGAATTGGTTCAGGAAGTGGAAGTTTTCGGGGTTGGGTTTAAGGAAATAGTGATATTGGGGATTGAAGGAATGGAATCGATTGAAGGTGCTCAGGTTAGATCCATAATATGCGGAACGGAGCACGGAGAGAATGGTGTTGGGGCCCAGCAATTCGGCGACGACGGGGGGCTTCACAGCATGATGACTGTGCCGCCGGAAACAGGGAGTTCGTTCACTGCACTGCTGGAACTCCCGGCGAACCAGGCGGTGGAGCTCCTGGTTCACTCGCCGGCGACTAAGCTACCGGAAATTGAACCTCAGAGGAATTTCTATCCCCGTTGTCCTCCGCCGCCGCCGATTTTCCCTTCTGACATAGCACTGATTGACCGAGCCTCGAAATTCTCGGTATTCGCCGGGAATTCCCCGGAGACGACCTCGATTCCTTCGAATTCCAGCTGGAAACCGAATTTCGTGAAGCCCGAGCCCTTGGATTCGGATTCAAACCCCAACTCTTCTCCGGGCGTTTCCAATCCCACTGTCAATCAGAATCAGAAATCAACCAAGCGAAAGGACAGGGAGAAAAAGGTAATCTAACATTCTAACGAATTCCACTTCTCAGAAACGGAAATTGTATGATCAAAACTCATATTCTTATCTATTTTGATGATGAAAATGAAAATTAGGTCAAAGAATCAAGCAAGAAGAACAAGAAATCTGCAAACAATACCTCAGAAGACGGCGACGAAAGGTGCCCGTACGTCCATGTCCGAGCTCGCCGGGGCCAAGCCACCGATAGCCATAGCTTAGCTGAGAGAGTAATCCTAATCTCATGATTAAGCTCTACCAACCTTGTTATTTATGGTTAAGTAATGTTGTTTAAGTGGCTAATTATAGTGTTTGTCTATGTATAGGCTAGAAGAGAGAAGATTAATGCAAGAATGAAACTGTTACAAGAGCTGGTCCCAGGATGTAACAAGGTGAGCTGTCAATTCCTCATTAGTACTAAACAATGTCATAATGCTCTCAATAATTAGATATTCTCTTGCATACCGAACACGTAATCTACTTCAGTCGCTTTATGTCAAGATAAAGAAATAAAAAAGCTGATTGCTTTTGCACCAATAGAAATGGTCTCCTTGTCATTCTTGCTGATGTTTCAACTTTTTGCTTGAGGAGCTTATAGTGTATTAGTGTAAACATAGGCTTGAACCTCGAGGGGTCTTAGGTTTAATATCCGTTACTTTTTGCTTTACATGGATTCCCAGCTTTGTGTCATCTTGGAAGCCATTATTGTCAATTCAGTGACATATGAAATCTTGTTCACACTTCTTACTCGATGTAAACCAAAGAGAATTCTGCAGTCGTTCCTTGTTCGAAAATGGACTGATGCTTTTGGTTGAATAGGTCCCTCATCTGGTAAAACATAATAGAATTAGATAATCTTTATAGGAATTTGAAAGAAATTATGGGGAATTGTTACGGTGAAAAGGGATTAGTCAACTAATCTAGACGGGTAATCTTTGGGGCTCAGGCTGTTATCCATATCATTGATTGTTGCCCATATCATTAGGTGATACAGCAGGTTTTGGTCAGGCCGTGCTCTTAAATTTGGTCAAACATAGGTTGAATAGTTGTAGTTGTAGCCCGGTGCTCTTAAATTTTGAAGACCTTGCTTGTAGATATTGTTAGCTGGCATTCAAATTAGATGTAAAAGGAGGTTAAGTGTGAAGAAATTTCACTCTCTGTGGTCCTGTGGAAACACTCTTTGGTGTATAAGATGTGTGACTGTGTGTGTGGGCCCCAATCCTACCTACAGATGGAATTAAACTCCTTTTTCTTATTATATATAATCATGATACGTTTAATTTTAAAAACAAATGTGTTTGGTTTAAATGCATAGTTAGAATTTTATTGTGCGCTGAGATAATGTAGTGGTACCCGTAAAGAAACCTTATGTATGAAGTTTGGCAACATTAAAGAACCCATGCCTAGAAGGGGCTTTTCTTCTCTTGATTAGCTGCTAACTAGTTATAGAATACTAAGACTGTGCCTACCTGAGCCTTTTCTTCGTTCTGATTTGCTCTGAAGTCCTTTATTAATTGAATATAATGCTTTTATTGCCTCTATTATCCTCAGTCTTTTTTATTATGTGAAACCATTGCAAAGAGAGGGACGCTTCCCAATGATGCTACAGAGATAATCATTGCATGCTATCCAAGCCATTTCTAAGGCACCAACATGATTTCTCAAGTCCATTGATATTTAATGAAAGGTTTCATTGATCAACTGCAGTGATATTTAATGTTAGTACTTATTCCAAGAATGTGAAAATACAATTCGATGCTTGAATTGTACTTTTGTGTAAAAACATCACTATTTTGTAGGGCAGAATCTTGGTCAAAAATAGTAAACTAAATAGTATAGAGTACAGCCATCTGTCTTTAGTAGGTAGAACAGTGTTTCACTTTGGAAAAAAGCTTAGTTGAAGGAATCCTGTAGTGGCTTGTGGTTCTGCATCTCCCTGGTGAATTATTGCTAGGTCTCAAACTATGCTAAGATTCAAATTCAACCTTATAAGCTATAGTTCACAGCTAAAGTATATTCCATTGTTTCTCCACCTTGAAAGAAGCTTTTAGTGGCCATTCCATAATAAGGATCAACTTGGTGTAGTACCCAAGTGTTCATCCCTGGGATCAAATTCTTGGAAACCGGTTATGTTGCATACATTTTCTTCCACAATCCATGCATGGGAGTCGTATACACCATCTCTGACCTTTATAATAGGTCTTTAGGACTTGCTGAAAGTCATTGCTCCTTTTTAAGCCTATAAATCCATTTCCCTTCTAAATTGCTAATTTTGTGATCATTTTTTTTTGCAGATTTCAGGTACTGCAATGGTGCTGGATGAGATCATTAACCATGTCCAATACCTACAGCGTCAAGTGGAGGTTAGACTTAACGGATCATTCATCTAATTTATCATTGATGAAATGTGTCTTCACTAAAATACAACTGTCTCAGTTACAAAATTGATGAAATATGAGGCTTTAAGTATTCATTTTTGGTGAGTTTTTCGATAGTTGTTACTCTTCAAGAGATGGTATAGTTGCTGTAATGCTATAACAATCCTTGAGTTGTAGTGGAGGTGGGTGGTGTTTCTATATCATAGATGGTTCAGGTAATGCAAAATGATGGAGGATGGGGGGATATTTGATGCTAATAATCGGGAAAAGAATATAACGTCATTTAGTTAGGCCTCATTGTTACAAATCTACTATCATCTAAGGCTACAGTGTTTATTTCTTCGTTCTTTTGATAAGTGGCTGTTGCCTGTTGGTAATCCTGCTCATAAAATTTAAACTTTACCATTGTTGGGTCGTATAGTATTTAATGCTTTGTTGCTTTAAATTTGTTTTCCTGATCGAATGTTTATTTGTCTACAGTTCTTATCAATGAGACTTGCAACTGTTAACCCAAGAATTGATTTTAACGTTGATACTCTCTTTGCTGCTGAAGTAAGTACGATGAAACTCTTTAGTTGTAATAGCTATTTAAGAACTCCCGATTTTAGATTAGATCAACGACACCATTTGTGATGATATTTCACTATGTTAGCTAATATTGCAATTTTCAATAAGCACACTGGAAATCGTTTACACTTTAATATTAAAAATTATTTTAACTAATCAGGTGAATTGTGGACCACCTATTGCATCAGCCATCTGTAAACATTTACACCCTGACATGTTCATATGAATATCTCTCACCATACCCATACTGTTGCTTGCCTTTGGAGTTACCTTCCGTCAGAGTCTGAATAGGTGGGTCCCTATATTCATAAACCGCAATACAGGAAAGATGTAAAACATTATCACGAGTAAAACTATATTCAACTCGTGAACATGCCTAGGACTGTTGTTTTTCCCCAACAAACTTACAGACTCCCATCCTCGTCTAATTGGAGATGGATGTCTAGTGAGCATCATTCTGCAGTTTCTGTCTAGATGCTGGAGATCAGATCTCTTGCAAATGTAATTGAGTTTAGTGCCGTGTTTTTAACTTATAAGCATGATAACCAAAAGCAACATAACCTGATTTTTCTATGTGCATAGTGTTGAGCATATAACCATTAATGTGCAATCCAACTATCAGCTTAGGCTTTTAGTTGAGATGGAGCACATGCTTCAATTTGGTATCAGAGCCAGACCAAAGGTCATGGGTCCGAATCGTTGAGCAATCCAACTATCAGCTTAGGCTTTTAGTTGAGATGGAGCACATGCTTCAATTCATATTGCATAGGTTCTATTGATTTCCATGCACTTTATCGTTTGTGTATAAACATTTGCAGACTGGTTCCCCAGTAGAAAGTAACTTTCCGGGCATGATCATGCCATCGATGTGGCCTGAGGGACAAGCCAACGGAAACAGGCAACCTTATCAACAGCTATGGCATTTCAATGGACTTCATCGACCTGTGTGGAGTAGGGAAGACGAGAACTCACTATTAACTTACGACTCAACAAATCCAGGTGCATACCAATCTAGTACCACCATATCTTAGATAGCAAATTAAAGTATTCCAGACAACACTAGTAATTCTGTATTCTTTATTGGCACAGCTTCTTTGCATGCAAATCAGCTAAAGATGGAGCTATGAAGGTAAAACGCGAAGCTTTTGGCTGTAGTTAGGCATGTATATATGACGACGCAGTAGTAGATTGCAGGGAATTTGAGAAAGGTGGTCACAACTCACAACAACTGGAAATCGGGTTTCCATGATCTCTAAATTGCAGCGACCTGGAAATCCTAGTATTATCTCGCCTGAAGGGATGACTGCTTGCTAGTCTTGATTACATATATACCCATATATATATAAATATATGTTTGATATATATATATATATGTATATATACACTGGTGTTTTGCATCTCTGTGAATACTAACAACTTGAGAGACTCGTTCAATCTGATATTGGGTGCATGAAATGATTGATTGATTCATAGTTGAGACTTGGGAATTATATTAGACCAGAATCGCTGCAGATTATAAGTGATTACTTATGATTATGGAAGTCTGTTTTCTGTTATTATTTAAAACTTCTTTCAAACTATTTCGATTGCATCTGGTGTTAACTGGTGTCAGATAATAAATTTAATGTATAGTTTAAGTTAAAATATCAATGAATTTTATGCTAACTTTAATTTTGGACAAAATTAATATCTATTTCAGAATAAAATAATATGAAAGTCAGTTATAATATATTTATAAAGTTTGTTACACTGAAGTTATATATAGTAAGAATACAATGAAGCCAGTGTAGTAGAGTCGTATACGGCAAATTCTTGACTTATCCAAAGATTATAGGTTTGATAGTTCGATTCTCTTACAAGTGACGAAGTCACCGCTGTTCGCCGAAGCTTCACCGGTCGGAAAATGTTGTCAATCCGGTTTAGTTTTGGTGTCCTCGTTCTCTCCCTCGCCTTCCAATTATATTCAGCCACGTCACGCTTCTCCATCCTCCAGGGGTCCCACCTGCCGCTTTCCTTCTCAGTCGTCCAGTTCGGAGCCACCGGCGACGGAGTCCACTACGACACCGTTGCAATACAGAAGGCAATCGACGAATGCTCTGCTGCCGTGGTGTCCAGCCGCCACCGTCCTTGCCACGTCACGTTCCCGGCGGGGAAGTACTTGACTGCAACGGTCCACCTGAAATCGGGGGTCGTTCTGGATATTAGTAGAAATGCGACGATTCTGGGAGGTTCGAGACTGAGGGACTACCCGGAGGAGCAAAGCCGGTGGTATGTGGTGCTGGCGGAGGGGGCAGACGATGTCGGGATCACCGGCGGAGGGGAGATCAACGGACAAGGGCTGAAATTCGTGCAGAGGTTTGATGAGCGGAAGAATGTGATGGTGAGCTGGAACCAGACGGGGGCGTGCTTGGGGGACGAGTGCCGGCCGCGCCTCGTCGGATTCATTGGTTGCAGAAATGTCAAAATCTGGAATGTCAGTCTCATCGAGCCTGCTTATTGGTGGTTCGTATTTCCTTCAAATTCCTCTAATTTTGCAACAATCATAATCCATAAGAACTGAATCTGACTGCAAATGAGTTCATATTCCCGTTTGAAGCTGCATCTTTCACCTGAACCCTAACTGCTTTGACTAGCTTTACGCATTCTAACTCAATTCTTTTGAGTGATGAGGAAACCACAATCACTATCCATAAGAACTGGAACTGGTTGCATATGAGTTCATATTCCTCTTTCACCTTGAATCCTGCTTTGCATTTACTAGCTTTCTGCATTTGTCTCAATATTGTGTTTCATAATCTTGTAGCCTGCATCTCGTACGAAGTGACAGCATATCTATCCATGATGTTACAATCTACGGGAATTTCAATTCGCCTAATAACGATGGAATTGATATAGAAGACTCGAACAACACGTTGATCACAAGATGCCACATTGATACAGGTGATGATGCTATCTGTCCCAAGTCATCCACTGGACCTGTGCACAACCTTACTGCTACCAATTGCTGGATCAGAACAAAATCATGTGCTATAAAATTTGGCAGTGCGAGTTTTTACACTTTCAAGAACTTCGTCTTTGACAATATAACAATCGTGGAATCACACAGAGGTCTTGGTCTGCAGATACGAGATGGAGGTAAAGCATTTCAATCCGTTCTTAGTCAATTTGAATCCTAGTATGTCTAGACAATTTTGTTGAAAACTCAAGTAATTTGGTGGTTTATCTAATTGCTCATAGTATACATCTCAGTTTAGTAATCACTAGTTGTGACTAGTTGGAACCAGTTATTGTTTCTTGCAACCTTCTCCAAAACATAACCTAAAACCTAGTCAAAATGTTAGCCCTTGGTTCATCAAAACTAGCATTTTGAGCCTCTACTTACTTTCATCGTTTTATGCAGGAAATGTTAGTGACATTACCTTCTCAAACATAAACATAAGCACGAGATACTATGACCCGTTGTGGTGGGGAAGAGCAGAGCCTATCTACGTGACAACGTGCCCGAGAGATGCAAGTTCAAAAGCAGGCTTTATCTCCAACATGCAGTTTGTTAACATCACAGCAACCTCTGAAAATGGCGTGTTCTTATCAGGATACGGAGGTGGACTGCTAAGCCATTTAAAGTTCACCAACGTGAACCTCACGTACAAAAGATGGACGAACTACTCAGACGGAATGCTGGACTACAGGCCGGGATGCAAAGACCTTGTTAACCACCAAACAGCGGGGTTCATGATGGAGCACATTGACGGTCTGGAACTCGAAAATGTGTCCATGAGGTGGTCCAAGGATCCAGCACTGAAGTGGAATAATCCCTTGGATTTCAGACCTTCAACTGTGAATAATATTTCTTTGCTGAATTTCGTCTCGAAACCATTCCAAGAATGAAGATGACCTCCTGCAGGGAATATATAAGCTGTTGTTGTGATAATGATTAGATGACTCATGAACCTTTCTTCCCACTATTGAAATTCCCAGTGTGTTAATATCCTCAATAAAGTAGAGAATAAGAAATTTGGAATTTTTTTGGGGGGGAAAAACTGTGCTTTTTATCGTTTTCTGGCAATTGTTGAGTATATAGTATGTAAAATATAAATGTGTTGTGTTGAAAAATATTTGATACATTAATTGTGATTGAGAATCGATCTTTTCAACTTTGTGGTTATGAATTATTATTATTTTATATTTTAATTTTAATTACTGTTTTTTTTTTGTTTTTTTTTTTTGGGATTATAGAATTTTAAAATTTCAGTACCATATATAAAACATAAACGGGATCGCAAGTTCACAGCTCTGTTTTCGCAGTTAAGCAAAGATGCCGTCCGCGAAACCCTTCGCGACCGCCGCAGGGATGCTGAAATCCAGATTGAGCTCGGGCCTTCGAACCCGAGGAGGGCATGGCCCGAACCCATTCCTTACTCCCGGCCACCAGGAGCGCCCTAATGGCTACCTCTTCAGCCGTACGCCGCCGCCGCTGGGGCAATCCCGGAAATGGGAGGACTGGGAGCTGCCGTGCTACGTCACCAGCTTTCTCACCATTGTGATCCTCGGCGTGGGGCTCAACGCCAAGCCCGATCTCACTATCGAGACCTGGGCCCATCAGGAAGCCATCAAACGGCTGGAGCTTGAGTCCGAATGACTGATCGGATCGATCTATCTATCTTGGTATGCTTTTGATTCGCCCTTGTTTGGAAATTTTCTAAGTTAGGGTTTTGGAAGAGAAGACGGGGAAGTCTTTGTTGATATTTTCTGGTGCAGTTGTTGGAAAAATAAGCATTGCTGTTTATTAACTCGTGATTTGAATTGGTAGCTTACGACTTTTTTCCGGAATAACTTCAATTTCTTGCAATGTTTAACCTGGTAATATTGTGTTGTTTCAATGATAATACATTAATACATTTCCTCGGTATACTACGAAAAGTTGAAAATTTTCCCATTTCCTTAAGTTGGTTGTAGTGAGATTCTGCAAGAGCTTAATTAAATTATCCAGTATGTGTTTCATGAGGTTAGAGAGTGATCTTTGTGGTTGGGTATGTTTTGAGCCCAAATGCTTTGCATAGGTTTAAGTCAACCACATTATTTAGCAGGAAAGTGAATGCAATGTGTTCATTCATTGGTTCTAGTTTAAAAGCCTAGAAGAGTTGTTTGCATAGGATTTTGAAGGCTTAATTATGAAATGATTGTTAGTCTGGTGTAACCTTGTCCCATTGAGATCAGCTATTTCTACTCTTTGCAAACCCCTTCTGCTTTTGAGCTTTTCCTATGACCTCAACCAAAAGTAGAGCAAACAAATTTGATTTTGCATAATAATGGGGTAGTATATCTGCTGTAATTTTGGTGTAATTTCCTTCATGTTACTAGACCTTATGTATGATATATTGATATTTTGCCATATTGGTTGGTTTCCTTGACCATTTAAAATAATACAAACAAAATGGCATTGGAGAGCGTGTAAATAATAGAGCTTCACGAACTTCAGTCTGACAAAGAGAATTGAACTTGATAATTGTTGTTATTATTATTATTGCTTTGTTTTTAGTTATTTATTTCTTTATTTTATTAATTTTTTAGAGGTGATAGTGCTCAAATTGTGACATCAACTTCATGTGTTTTTTTCCCTGTAAATTTAACTTTAATGTTTTCCCTCTCCCTCCTTGATTAAATATATTTGTTCAAGGAAATGGACAATCTAGGGTAACTCCCTGCACTACCTAATGTTCTGTTACCATTAGGTCTTTAATTGAATGTTGTTATCCTGCAATCTATGCACATAATCAATGTCTTACAATTTGCTTATAAAATTTCTCATATATAGTAGTGTTTTGGTTTATGAGGGGTGGGGTAGGATATTAGTGATGATTGATGAGAATATTTGTTCCTTGTGTAGTGCAAGGATAAACAAACCCTTCCCCTCCCCACTGTTTAATATAAACTTAACTTTCGAGATCGGTCGAGGACCACGATTTACAGTTTTACTCCCATTGTAGCAAAGTTGAACCACAGATGGGAGTAGTGGAAATTTCTAGTCCAAACCCCTCTAATCCTATGAACTAAATGAGCCTTCATTTCCTCAAGCCTAACCATGTGTTTTGTAGAGAGTTACCTGAAATTAGCATGGTTAAACAACTGGGTGTCTTCTAGTCTTATAGATCAGACTATAATTTATAAGGCTTGATCAAGATGGATCGAACTGCTGGATGGGCCAGTGGAGAAGTGTTCTACAAGCGATGAGACGTATGTTGCACACATTGTTCACTCTTCCATCCAATGGGTGCATTGAATTCTACTAACCTAGTATGAGGAAAAGAACATTGTCATTCAGGTGTTAAATTATTTGTGTTCATGTTGTGAGATTTAGTTTCTTCCAGTCTTGCGAAGCCAGTCCTATTTTCAGGTCTTCCTTCTGAAACGCGTTTTAGCATTGAAATATAATGAGTAGTAGTAGGTGAGAGTGCATTCATTTTCAGCTTATCTTTTAGAATATGCACTTACATACAGTTTTACTTTGTTTGAATTGGCTTATGAGATTTTGAAAAGTTGTCTTGACCTCATTTCCATAAACCAATTTAAGGAGTTGATTAAAATAAGCTGAAAACAGCTTTTAAAGAAGATGTCAGTTTCTGAACTTATTTAATCTATTTTGATCTTTTCTTATGGAGAGTATTTAAAAAGTGTCCATCATAAAAACACTTATGTAAGATCTTTATCCAAACTTGGCCTTATTCAAGAATATATCAATCCAGACCCTAAAACAAAGCAGTTTGCTACTTTGCTGTTAAATATTCCAGACTATAAGCTTTATCTAATGGTTTTCACTGAATTCTAGCTGCTTAATGAACAATCTGGTACTATGCACAGGTCTCTGATTCTCCACACATTTATTTCCTCTTTTTTTTTTTTTTTTTGGAATTTCATTGTGGCATCATGTATTGTGTTAATACTATATACAATGAAATGAACTTTATTCCTCTTGGCATGCATTTGTACTACTCACTGAATGTGAAAACATGTCAGTCCCTCATTCTTTTGGGTGTAAGTAAGCTGTAAGGTTATCATTGCAGTCTTGCATAGTTGATATTATTTGTTTGAATAATTCATTTGAGTTGGCTTCATCATTGGGACTTGTAGGCAATGTGTGGACCTGAAGCTACTTCTTTCTGAAGGAGGAGGTTATATAAGGAATTCCTTATTTGTTACTCCTTCATATTTGAGTATATCAAGTAATCTAGGGATAAAAGTCTCCATCTTTTTGAGATTGTTTAAAGTGATCTAGTCAACAATAACAAGAGAAATTCTCCTTTTTGTTGGAGAAATGAAAAACTAGAGAAAGGAACCTAGCAACTTGTAATTATATTGATCTTCTTCGAATAAGTGTCAAATTACATAAACGTGATATGAGCCGAATTCAAATTAATCTCATACTTATCCAAATTAACTTTGTTGTTGTTATTGGAGAACTGGAGTAAATACAATCAATATACTTTATCCTATGCTGGTAATAATTTAAAAAGAAGGGCATCATATTAAAGTCAAGAACGGCATTTTCATCCCAGCAAAACAGGTCCCCCACACAGAATACATGAGGAAAGCAATACACACTATAATTTTGGATGCCAACCAATACATGATGACATGATGTACCTACCCATTGTACTCTGAACAATCCACAAATCATATTGATGAGAAGTTTCCTCTTCACTCATTCATTCGACCCTTCAATGTATTGTTTTTTTTTTTTTTTACAACAAGTTTCTTGATTTTTGTTGAATTATATTATACACTTTATAAACCCACATTCAGGCTCATAAGAAAATAAATCAATGTTAGTTTAACTTCGAGACTCTTACCCCACACCTATGAAGAGGTAAATTGAATCAATCTAATTTTAAAAAGTTAACATTAAACTATACACTTTTATGCAGAAAGAGTCCAATCTAAAGGCTAAAGCCAAACCTTCCATAGTCATAGCAGGAATTGAACTTCCATCTTAGTGCTGAAAACAAGTATTTAATGAAATTTTTTATTCACTAAATGAATGTCATGATACCAAATAAATATGGTTATTGATTTGATATGTGGGGAAAGATTCTCTTAGTAATTAGGATATTTGGTGGGTAGTAATGGGCTGTGCAGACAGGGCCATGGTTGAAAGGTGATTGGGAAATTAAAAGAGCAGTCTTGTGACGGCAATGGCGACAAAGCTTAAAGTCACAATCAATCATCCTGTGATCAATACATTTTGTATTATGGCGGTGGACATCCTATCCTTGTTTATGCTAATTCTATTCACCACCCAATCATCCATAAATCTATACCAAATAATGTCCTCATGGACAGCTCAGTTGATCACTCAAAATCGAATCTTACCAGTAATATTGTGAGAGCATCCTTTCAAAGTGAGGGACTCAATAGTATTTAGTTGAGTTACCATGATTTATATTTTCCTAGATATTCTATTGAGACAGGATATAGAGCCCTTAAAGTTAGAGATTTAACATTTTAGAAACAATTTATACCAAATAACTTTTGTGAGAGATATAATAAATAAATAAATAAAAGATAAAGCATGTTGGCTTTCACTGTTTGTTGGTCAAATATGACCGGCGAACTGATAGCCTCCACCGGCAACGCAATTACTCCTTCCTCTTACCGACATGTTTGTCACTCTGTTTTGCTCTCATAAACATGTTTAACCAACTAACATGAGATTGGGGTTCGATCTTCACCTATGTGAATAAAGCAAATTATTTGGTCAGTCCCTTATTACTTAGTATACTGACAATAAGAACGGTAGATTAATCTTCTAACTATCAGCTGTAGGGATACCTTTAAGCAACTAAAAAAAATAAAAATGTTTAACCTCAATCTCTTAAAATGTCATCACCATATTCCGCTATCCTTGATTTTAAGGTACTTGGATTTTTTAGTACAATACTAGAATGTGAACATTTTAATGGAAGTAATAGTAAAGTTGAAGAGTTTGGAAAGGTTCATGTGGTGTCACATGTGGTCTGGCTGCCTCCCATATTTTATTATGATGACTCTGAATTCTGAGAACGTGAGCACCAAGCCACCAACTTCACTTCATTCATCCCATCACCACCAATATATATATATATATATATATATATATATATTTTCAACAAAAAAAACAATAATAAAGAAAAATTGAATTAATGTCAAACATTCAATTACTCAACAATAATAAATAAAAAACCCGAACCGAACAAACAACCAATAATGGCTTAAAATAGGAGCGGACAAGACATCAAATTTAAGCCGTAAGATCAATATCAATTCACAATTCTTATCTTCAAATTAAGATAAGATGAGGAGAAGGCATGCCAATTGTGATCGATCTTAGGGCTTAAATCCATTTATTCTATTTGGATCTTAAAATTGAAAATGATAAAAATACCCTTAAATTTTTAAAATTTCAGCACGTCTTAAACAGATGGGTGACCATAAATTTTGACACTAAAATAATATTCCTGAATGAAAATTGATAGAAATTAAATATGTGGACAAAAACTGTCGTTTTGTTAGTACTCATGAGATCAAAATTGGTATTTTGCTCTAAAAATATATACGGAGTATTAAAAAAAATTGCACAACCACTTATGGTTTGGGAGTCAAAATCCATTACTGACCTCCCACCTCATGCACTTAACCACATCACATCAGCCGCGTAACGTAATTAACCGGGAATCGCCGGTCACTATCCTCCACCGACAACAACGTAAACCCCATGTTTAACTCCTTCTAAGTTCTAATCCCATTTTTAACATCATTAGCTCATTACTTAGCTGCTCTTTCTTCTTCTTCTTCTTCTTCTTCCTCGCACCACTACACTACTCCCCGCATTGCATTCCGATCGTTTCCCTCAACTACATATTTGTTTATTGAGGAGAGAGAGAGAGAGAGATAGATAGAGAGAGAGAGAGGAAACGTTTTTTGTACGAGAAGAAATGGCGGCGTTTTGAAGTCGGATCTCTTTCGAAGTTTGCGTCTAGGGAAAAGCAGGATTGCTCTGTAAGTCCACGTTTCCATTGTTGTCCTGTTAACTAAGCAGTTTTTTTAGCTCATTGTGTGGATTGTTATGCATAGTTGGATTCGAATGTGATTGTAGAGAGTGCGTTTTTTTGTCGTTTCTATTGGAGTTTTGGAGATCGGGATTTAGCATAGCCATTTGGAAACATGTGGATCCTTGCTCTTTCTTTATTCTCTCGTCTTGTCGTTTTGGCCTGCAGTTTTCGCTATCGTCTTTATCACTTTCTCTGCTTTGCCCTGTTCTCAATGGCAGCATTCTTTTGAATTTTTTACTGTTTTTGGACTTTGAGTTTCTGTTTCCGTTTTGCTAAATTTACTGCAGTTCTGGTTATTTTATTTATTTTTAATTTTTAATTTTAATGAATTGAATTTTGGAGATACGGTAATTTACAGTTACCCTTTTGCGCTCTGTAACCGTTTTGTTATCCTCAATCTGGCCTCTTTTTATTGAACCGCCTTTCACACCCCATTTTGTCTCTGGAACTATTGCCTTGGTAATGCTTTGAGGTTAGAGGCAGATTTATCATTTTCATCGAAAATTCTAAGGTAAAATTCAGTTTCCTGCTTGTTGATGGATGATGTTTTTGATGCTCTATGTTGATAGATTAATAGTATTTTCTGTGTTTGTAAGTTATATTTGTATGCTGTGTGTTCTGTACATTATATGACTGATTAGATATTCCTGTCTGTCATTAACAACAATGACAAGAATAGGATTGATGAATTGTCTTAAAATGTCTATGATCGAAGTGGAACAGAATTGATGAATTGTCTTAAAATGTGCATGATTCTAGTGACTCTGACTTGATTTGATTTGATTTCCTAATGGAGTGGAGATGAAACTATGAAAGGGAAAAGGAAAGAAAAGTAACTAATTCAATTCTGATCTGCAGTTTGTATGAATATGAAAATATGGTAGCAATGGTTTATGACACTGAATCTTGCTAATTATGGCTTCCTTATGGATGCTATATTGTGAAAAGTAAAGGTGAAACATATTAAATTCTGTAATTTATTTAGTGATTGATCGGAATTAATGATGTTAATGTGATGTTGTTTCAGTAGAAGGCTACTGGCAACATACCATTTCACGTTTGATATAGTTATCATCTCAACATTAAGTTGGTTCAAGTGTGCATTTATTCTTTGAGTGATTCTTGCTAATTATGGCTTCCTTATTTGCTTCAGTTTATAAGGTGAAATATTTTCAGCATGAGGGAAACTGAACGGAAGCAAGTTCAAAAGACTAATCAAATAAAGCGTGCTTCAAAGCCTGATAAAAAAGGTCAGAAACCACAAGAGAAGAATGGTGGCAGAATCTTGAAAGGGAAAGAAACAGATATTAAAGCCACATCTCCTACAAACTCCCGTACTTTAGTAAGTGATCCAAACACGGGCCCTGAACCCCCTGAAGTTTATGAAAATATGGTTATACACTATGTGGATGATGCCAATAGATCTGGTGATACAATTCAAGATTCAAAAACAGTTAAAATGGTTGAGAAGGAGAGTAAGAATAAACTAGAGGGTTATTCACGTGAACAGGGAAATGATTCAAAGGAGGAAGTGGAAGAGGAATCTGATCCTGAGACAGTTAACGATTCAGTATCATCTCAAGGAGATCCACAAACTGTAGAAGACGAAAAACTAGAAAGAGCTTCAAGAATTTCCAGAAATGGATCCTCTGACAGCTCTTCGCATGCATTGCGTGCAAATTCTGATAACGGTGTGCAGATAAAGACATCAAAAAGTGCACCTAAGAACACTACTAAGCCCACAAAAGGTCCATCTAAAGTGACAACAAAAAGTGCACCTAAAAATATGAAAGTCCATCCAAAAGCAATATCAGAATCCTCAGAAGAACTGGATGATATACCTCTTGAAGAGGTTAAGCAAACAACAGATGAAGCTTCAAGCAGTGCCCAAAGTTTTGGAAGTGATGATGAAACCGTCAACACTGCAGAACATTTTGATCATGAAGACAGGGCAGCTTTAGAGCAACAAGTCCAGGAAATGGAATCAAGGATTGAGAAACTTGAGGAGGAGCTGAGAGAAGTTGCTGCTCTTGAAGTTGCACTTTATTCTGTGGTACCTGAGCATGGAAATTCAGCGCATAAGGTGCACACACCAGCAAGGCGCCTTTCCAGACTCTATATTCATGCTTGCAAATACTGGTCTCAAGACAAGCGAGCTACAGTTGCTAGAAATGTTGTTTCAGGCCTTGTTCTGGTTTCCAAGTCATGTGGTAATGATGTTCCAAGGTGTGTTTTAGCTTAATGAATATAGATGTGAGGTTTTCTTCTTTACTTTGCATGCTAACAGTTGTCTTCTGCTCTCAATTAAGGTTGACATTTTGGCTATCCAATGCTGTCGTTCTGAGGGAAATCATCTCACAATCATTTGGAAGTTCTTGTAGCTCAAGTTCTCTTACGAAAATACTTGAGTCCTCTGGAGGAAAGAAGGGTGATGGGAAACGCCTGTCACTCAAGCCGAGCAGTAATGGTGTATTGCATTTTGTTGATAATTGGCAAGAATCAAGAACTTTTACGGCTGCCTTAGAGAGGGTGGAGTCATGGATTTTTTCTCGGATAGTTGAGTCAATATGGTGGCAGGTAATTAATCCACAAAATAATATTTTCATATGTAGAGGAGGCCAGGAGCTCATGTATGTAAAGCTCATGACAGACCTTTATAGTTTAACTAGTTAATTTTACCTGTCATGTTTTGCATGGTGAAATGGTTCCTGATAGAACTGCAATCAACAAATTAAGCAATTGAGTACAGCTATTTTGGAATTCCTTAAATATTGGGAGTTTATAAGGCAAACACTTATTGTAGACATAGAGGCTGCTAACTCTCTGATACCATTAATAGCAAGGAAGCAACTTTATGAACTTTTTCCTTTAATACTCTTCATTAATGCTGGTTGATTCTTTATGTGCAGGCCTTTACTCCAAATATGCAACCTCCCATTGACAATCCATCAATTGGCAAGGCCGTGGTGAGATTATCTGGACCTGCTTTGGGTGACCAACAGCAAGGCCGCTTCTCAATTGATCTATGGAACAATGCTTTCCGAGATGCTTTTAATAGATTATGTCCTGTTCGTGCTGGTGGGCATGAATGTGGTTGCTTGCCTGTGTTGGCAAGAAGGGTACGTGCCCTAGTTACTTTCATTGTCCATTCATCTCTGTGACTTCATTCTAATTGTTAATTTCTCTTAGTTCTTTTCCAAGTTCTGGCACAGATAATTAAGGAAAGATGACTTTCTCTAGATATTTCATTTTAATTTCTTTTTTGGGTTGACGAGGGAAACCCACAGCGACTACCCAAGGGTGTGCACTGGGTAAACCCCGCCTTGTGACCCTATCTGGCAAAGAAACACAAGGAGTTAAACCAGCCTAGGTTGCCCATAGTTGACCGGCTCAAACCAAGAAGGCCGGCATTTGTACTCGTGACCTTGTGCTTACAAGTTTGTGTCCTTAGCTATCTTGGCTGGGGTTTCATTTTAATTTCTTCATTCTATAGTTGGCTGTCGCCTATTTCTTTACGTGTGGTGCAATAAGCTTTACATCTTTCTACCTTTTGTGCTATCAGGTCATGAAACAATGTGTTGCCAGACTAGATGTGGCAATGTTCAATGCTATTCTTCGTGAGTCAGCTCATGAGATCCCGACTGATCCTGTATCTGACCCAATAGTTGACTCAAAAGTTTTGCCTATCCCAGCAGGGGATTTGAGTTTTGGATCTGGTGCTCAACTAAAAAATTCTGTAAGTAATGCAGAATCTTTTTTTATTAATATTTATTTTTTAACCTATTTTTAACATGGATCATGGGCAAGATGTTAGGCAACATCCTCATTTGGTGGAATGTTATTCATTGATTGCAACAGAACTATTACTTTCAATTCATAAGTGTTGTTTCCAATTCTGATTTTGGTCTTAACACCTTATTTGATGCTAATAATAGACTGGATTTTCTTCACAGGTTGGCAATTGGTCAAGATGGCTAAATGAATCATTTGGCATGGCTCTTGATGATTGTGCAGAAGATGGCCATGGCAACTCTGAGAATGATGATCGACCACATGGGAGTGAAAAAAATCATTTCAATCTTCTCAATGCCTTGAGTGACCTTCTAATGCTTCCAAAAGACATGCTTATGGACCGAACAATCAGAATGGAGGTAAATCAACTACAGAGCAGTTCTGCATATTTAGAAATATATATTAACCGTTGCTCATTCTTGTCACTATGCTTTAACTCTTATCATTGTTGCAGGTTTGTCCATCAATCCATCTTTCATTGGTCAAGAGAATACTATGCAATTTCTCTCCAGATGAGTTCTGCCCCGATCCTGTCCCAGGCACTGTATTAGAGGCACTTAATGCCGAGGTTTGATTGTTAACTTTCATATATATCTTAGTAGCATTTATTCTTTACCAAACTAGTAATATGAACAAAAAATTTAATTTCATATCCTTTCTTTCCTATTTCCAGTGTATCATAGAGCGGAGATTATCGTTGGCTGAATCAACGAGCAGTTTCCCTTATCCTGCTGCTCCGGTTGTATATACTCCACCTTCCTCTGCCAATATTGCAGAAAAAGTTGCAGAGGTGGACAGAAAATCCCAGTTTTCTCGAACCCCTTCTTCTATACAGAGGAAGGGATACACAAGTGACGAAGAACTGGATGAAATAGATTCTCCTCTCGCATCCATAGTCGACAAGACATCATCTGCACAGTCTGAGAATGGAAATGGAAACATCAAAGACAACGAAAATAAAGGTAGTTTGGGATCCAATGCAAGATACGAACTCCTCCGGGAGGTTTGGAGAGCAACAACATAGGTAATAAGGTGGATGAATGTTTCTGGGTTTGGTTGTGTTTGAATTGCTGGAATGCATGGTAAATAGAGGAGAAGTCCAAACTTTACAGAACATTAAACTATGATCAGTGTTCCTAGGTTAGATGGAGCATCCTTACTTTTGTGTTTTTTTGTTCCCTTTTAAGGCGGGTATATGTGAATGAAATATAGTAACCAAAGTTATGACACTTGAATACAAAGCATTGCACTGTTTTGTGCAATATTTACTGTACTTGTATTGTACAAATGTACAATAATAGATTATTACATCACCAAAGTAACATCGACTCTTTTCTTTTGAAATCATGAGTTATTATCATTGAATTGTTTATTGACCTTCTGTGGCTTGTGGGCTATTTTTATTTATTTATTTTTATTAAATTAGCTTGGCCTGGGGTCACCCCGTGCGGGTTGCGGGCCATTGCTGGTCAAACCTGTAGGCTGGCATTTTCACGGACCAGCTTTCTTATAGCCTTAACCCGCTTCATTGTGAGGCAAGTGCGAGCTGGCCCATTAGCTTAGATCTACTTTGATATCTCTAAATTAAATTATGATAACTAATTTTACCCTCATCTCCAATAATACACTATGTAACTACATAAACACATATATTTTTTTTGCACCATAAAAGCATTTGGAATTGATTAGTATAGATAAATTATGCTTCTTCAATGGTGCTAAAGAAGCAAGAAAATTTGATCACAAAAAGTTGTTCTGTTTTGGGTAGACCCATTGTCCAAATTCACAACAAACATACAAACAAACAAACACTTTCAATTCAATTAGCAGCTGGTGGCGGTGGCGGCGACGGCCCCTGCTGGGACGACGACGTCTGAGTCTGTCGAGACATGTTGTTGTTATATTCTTGCAAGTTGAGGAACATGGCCATCCTGAGATCATCATCCCCCTCATCTGTGTCGTCGTCATCATCGTCGTCGTCTTCTTCTATAACCGGCAGCCTCTCCTTTCCTTTCCTGCTCCGCCCTTGCACGCCCTCCGCCACCTTCTCTTTCCCCTTACTGCTCGCCACCTGCACGGCGGCCTCCTTCCCTTTTCCTTGCCCTTCTCCGGCGGGCCTCCCTCCCTCATTGATGGTCACGCCAGTCTCCCGAGGTCTCCCTCCCTCGTTAATACTGACCCCGGTGCTCTTCTTCTTCCTCCCTCGCCGCTCTCCTCCCTTATTCCTCCCCGCCTCCGCCGCCGCTCCTCCTGGAGGGGCGGCGACAATGTTTGCAGGTAGCTGGAACGTCCACCTCGGTCCAACCTCTCCCTGCACACGCAACAAATTAAATTATAATCGGATCAGTACCTTTATAAATAAATAATTAAGTTTATATAATTGAATAAACAATTAAAAAACGAGTAAACTTATAAATAATAAATTAATTATTATTATTTCAGTTTATATAACAATACTTACAAAACATAAGCAAAGCTAAATATCTTTTTGAGTTAGAACAAGAAATTAAAATATTTCAAAACACGATAATAATATTTATAAAAAATAAAATATAATTATTTGGATAAAATAGTTTGAATAGAAAGCATATTATAAATCACACACCTTTTATATTTATATAATTTTTATAAATAGTTTTTCCATTAGCTAGATAAATTATAAACTTTTCTAGATTAATTTAAATACGATAACACATAATAAAAATTGAAAATTAAATTAACTAGATATTTATTTAAAAAAAAAAAAGTAAATTGTCTTCTTTTTAAAAATGATATATGTACTCTCATGGAGTATAAACTCCCGCCACGTGTACCAATAAATTTAAGTGAACGAAGAAAATTTGGGGCCCACTTTGTTAGTTAAATCAATCAATTAATGACACTTCAGCAGGGAGTACAAAATGGAGTAGAAAGTGAGAGTACATGTAGTATTACTCGATTTTAAAATATTGTGTAGATATTTTAAAATCCATAATGGCATAAATGTCGGGAACCCTACAGGTAAAATTGACATCCCTAAATTTAATAAACATTTTGCTAAATTTAATAAACATTTTACTGTGGACTATGGTCCATGTAGTAATGTGAATATGTGATCCATGAAGTAAGTATCATTCTTTTTTTGAAATAAAGTATCATTCTAATTATATTTTTATTTCATTTGACAATATTGCTATGTTTTTTAGTTTCAATTTTTACACATACTAGTTTCATTATAGCAATACCAAAGTATCATTTTAATTATACTACAGTTTCATTTGACAATCTACATTATTGTATGAGCTCTATTTTGTAGTTTCATTTTCCACACACACTAGTTCCATTTTAACAACATTAAAGTATCATTTTAATTATACTACAGTTTCATTTGACAGTTTACATTGTTGAATGAGCTCTATTTTTTAATTTCATTTTTCACACACTAGTTTCATTTTAACAATGCTAAAATTTCATTTTAATTATACTACCGTTTATTTGACAATCATGGTCCACTATATAACAACCCTGTCTAGGACCGATCTTGAATGGAACCAATAAGCTGTGAGTTATACTAAATCTAATAAATTAAAATTAGTGATCTTATAAACTCATATATTTTCTCTTATTTTTTTCAAGTATTCCTAGTGTTGAATATACATGGAAACTTAAGCAATATAATGTTTGTGGAAATGAAAATAAGTGCGGTGTATGTATTACCTGCACGTCCGTGAGAGGGACACTAGCCAGGGCAGCCTGCAAGGTTTGCTCGTCGATCATAGCCCCTCTGGCCGCCGTCGACCTCTGCTGCATCCCCACCGTCGCCGCCCCCTGCTGCATCCCGGCCGCCGCCGACCCCTGCTGCATCCCCGTCGCCGCCGCCATCCTGCTCCCCCTATCAACACCACTCCCCGCTATGAGAATGCTGTCAAGAATTGCATTTCTCCAGCTGTGTCTGTTACAAACATCATTATATTGTTAGCATTTACATAACACATAATCCTAATTATAAAAATCCATCTCAACTAAAAATCTAAGCTGATAGTTGGATTGCAATATGCTCAACACATGTATAGTATTATATTATTTCCTTTATATATATATATATATATATATATATATATATATATATATATATATATATATATATATATACATTGCACGCTGTATGCACACACTGCACATACACACGTATGTGTATATATACTTATAAAGAGATAAGATAACATATATAAACATATAGAAAAAGGATAATATATGGACGAACCTAGAATGGCCATATGGAAAGGCGCCACGACCAAACCCTTTAGTGATACTGAGGTAATAATTATACATGTAATTAGCTCATAATTAATCATTAATCACCCAAAAAACATACATATATATATAGAGAGAGAGGAGATGATGCCTGGTGCTCAAAGCTTGGTAATGACCTAAAAGCCCTTGACCAAACAATTGGATGTTGGATGCCAACAGGGCCGCCGCCGACCGGCTGCTGCTTTTTAGTAGCCCTCCGACGTCCACCCTGCATCATCCTCACAAGTCACAACACAATAACAAAACATGAATGTAAATATGTAATAAATGTAATATAGTATTATATTTATGAATATATTTTCCCTTTATTACATCTATCTCACCTTTAATTTATGTCTACAGTTAATATTATGATATTACTTTAATCATTAGCGTTTGACTATATACCCTATTAATTATAAATTCTAAACCCCAATTAACACATCACTATATCTTTTTTTTTTTTTATCTGATCTTTAATGAAAAATGATATTTATTATCAAATTAAAACGGAACTAATTTTACTTGTTGACTAAAAAACGAAATTTCCTTATCCCATGACCCACACCTTGACCCGACAGTTAGTAAAGAGTAAATCATAGTTATTTAGCAACCAATTAAGTAGGAAGATCAACGGATTATATATATATATATATATATATATATATATATATATATATATATATATATATATATGTTGTGTATTAATGGTGTATGCATATCACATGTACTAAAATATATAGAACAACCAAGTAATATAATTGTGGTAAGTTGTTGACTAGAATTACAAGGTAGTGTAAAGGTAACAAATAACAAACAAATATATCAAAGAACAATCAAGTAATATAATGCACAAATATAAATAAATATTAAATTAATTAAATTTGGGAGAATTAAATATGATATGAAACTAACCTTGGAGGTTGAGGTGCGACGGTATTGGTCGGAGCTCCTGTCATGGTCTTCAGCAAAAAGTTATAGTTGTTGTTTTGGGGCATAACCGGGGAGGGTTGGACCATGTTAGGGTTTTGTTGGACGTCCGTGGGGTTGTAAGAAAACGGCACGGAAGTTGCACCGACAGCTTCACCCTGTTGGGACGACTGTTGTCTTCCTTGAGCTAGTGGATAGTTGAAGGAGTAATCGTCTCTCTCATTAGGAAAACCTAGAAGATTTTCATTTGGGTTGTTAAAATCGTGGTTTAGGGAGACTGACGACTCTTGATTTAATGGTTGAGAGGTGAAGGTGAAATTAGTCAAAGGGTTGTCATAGTTTTGAGGGGGCAAAGAATACCCTTGATTTAGTGGTTGAGGGGTGAAGGAGAAATTGGTCGAAGTGGTGTCATGGTTTAAGTGGCGCCACGAAGACCCTTGACTTAATGGTTGAGGGGTGAAGGTGAGATTGAACGAAGGGTTGTTGTGGTTCAAGGACCATTGATTTAATGATTGGGGGGTGAAGATGAAATTGGTCGAAGGGTTGTCATGGTTTAGGGGGAGAAACGATGACCCTTGATTTAATGGCTGAGGGGTGAAGGTGAAATTGGACGAAGGGTTGTCCTGATTTAGGCGGAGCGACGAGGACCCTTGATTTAACAGCTGAGGGTTGAAGGAGAAATTTGTTGTAGAGTTGTCTTGGTGATAGGATAGATCGGGCACTTGACCCAATGGTTGAGGGGTGGAAAAGAAGTTGGTCGTAAGATTGGCCTGATATGAGGGCTCATATTCTTGAGTAAATGGTGGAAGGAGGGAGGAAAAATTATCAGTTACAAGATTAGGTTGAGGATATTGGAGGTTGAGACCTTGATGATTCCATGGTCGAGGAGTGGAGTTGAAATTCCTCGAAAGATTATCCTGATAATACGATGGATTTGATGACTCTTGATTGAATGATAGGGAGGTGGTAGAGTCAAAGTCGGTCAAAGAGTTCCAATAAGATACATCAGCCCCTTGATTCGACGACTGAGGGTTAAAGGCAAAATTTGTCGAAAGATTGCTTTGTTGGGAAAAGAGATTGGACCCTTGACTTAACGGTTGGGTTTGGATAACATGGGCCAAAAGATTATCTTGATAATATGG